AACAACCGTGGGCGGTGCTTGGGAAGGGCGAACCCTCTTCTCCGCTCCCTGCATCAGCAAAATATTTTCCCTGCTCCCGTCCTTCACCCCTCTCGCCACCTCTTCCCCCCTCTCTTCTCTCCCCCCCGCATCTCACCCTTGGTGTCCATGTTCTATCGCTGGCAGTCTCTCAACGTTGCGACGACCCAATGCACCGTACAAGTGAGTAGGGACATTTTCTTGTGCGAGTCCAAGAAAAAGGTTCAAGGGACATTTTTTTTTTCCATGTCCCCCACGCTCTTCACCATGTCGGCAAAAACATGTGCCCCTTGTGTCTGTATGTCTATCCAGATTTTTCCCGCCACTCCCATTACCTCCCCTCCGCCTCTCCCTCTCTCCCCCACTCCTGGTGGACCCCATGGGCCTCAGTTAGTGATTCTGATTCCTCTCCCCCCTCTTCCTCTCCTTTCATCCCCGCCTCCCCTACCGCCCCACCCAACTCTTCCCCCTCTCCCTCTAGATGAACCTTCTAGACATGTGCACAATAGGCTAGGGGGGCCCTCATGGCTCATACACAGCAGAAATGTGCGCCCCTTGCATCTGTCTGTGCACCTGCCCGCAGGGTCCCCCTCCTTTTCTTGCGTTTAGCCCACGTTTCTTCTCACTTTGCTCTTTCACCCAAACCCCTCCAAATGGACCTTCTACATGTGTGCGGTCATGTCAGTTGCACTCATAGGCAGCAGAAGGAATGGAGATCCGAGCATGCATTGCAGCTGCTGCTGCTGCTGCTGCTGCTGCTGGTGGCTGGTGTAGAAAACTGCTAGCTGCCAGTTCTGCTGATTCATGGCGGGAATGTTGGGGCGGGGAAGGGGAGGGAAAGGAGAAGTTTGGGAATAGGAAAGGAATCCGTTTAAAGAGCCAGAATACCACGTGCCTAACTCATTTCTCCTTCCCCTCTCTTGGCTTTCACATTGGCCCTACCCTTTGTCCCGCTCCAGATTTTGTCCCGCCCCTCAGTTTCCCTCCATTCTTTTCCAACCCCATCATTCTCTACCCTTTTAACTTCGTGGGGTGCAGTTGACAGATGAGTTGGTCCACCTCCCACCGCCAGCATAATATACAACGCAGCAAGATACCTTCCTCTGCTGTTCGTTCGTGCATCGAACTTCGCTGTGGTGGAGATCATTTGGGTAGTAACATAGTCGCATGTGATACAATATTTGATGTATTGTTTTGCTTGCATGCTGTGGAAGGGGTAATGAACAAAGCTGGTGGAAGGAATTTAGTTTCTATAAAATTCATTATTGCCTGCACAATGAATGATTCCTTGTCCAGATCCATCACATCGTTTGCAATATTTGTATATTAAATCAACAATAGAAGAATCTCACATAAAGCCATTCTCATTTCACCCTCTTGTATAATGACTGGTTGACCAGGATGAGAAATGACCTTGGCGTTACATCTAGTGCTAGTAACTTCAATACCGCTTTCGTAAGTTGCGAGCGTGTATTTTTCCTCCTAATGTAATTTTCTTTTTAAGAAATTGCAATGTACACCGATGGAGCAAGCATACATAAACAATAACAGTCGTAACTGCGCATGAGGGGAAGCCACGTGGCCGCCCCGGGTGTGGCCTCTAAGGAGGTTGGCGTATCATCCTCGGTGCGAGCCAGATATTCGAAAAAGCTTTCGTCCATGTCCACGACTTGCTGTTCTTGTCCCTGATCCGAAACAGTAGCCTGTTCTCACTCTCCAACGCCCGGCGGAATTTCCCCTCATGCTGCGTGCCCTGGCGCTTCTTCCACTCCGCATCCCTCAACCTCGTGTAGATTCGCGCATGGAGGCGGAAAGCAGCTTCAACACGGCGGAGTACACGCCTCGTCCGGAACTTCTTCCCCCGAAAAACAACATCACACCGCTCCACCCACAGTTGATGTAGTGTAATGGATGTAAGCGTGGCTTCTGGAAAAGCTGTGCTGGTCCCCGCCTTCCGGAACAACAGGTCACCCAATGATGACACAACACGCGAGCTGTTCAGCATGCGAAGCGACTTCAGCAGAGCAGACGTCACCACTTGAATTTTTGGGCAACTGTATAAACAGTGCTCGAGAGTCTCCTCTCCTCCACAGTACGGGCAGACCGGCCTGCTGCTCAGGAACGACACTCGCTCTCCCACTTGCAGGTTTAAATTGTGGATCCGCAGCAAAACGTCCCTCGGCTTACTCGGTGTGACCAAGGAGTCCCGTATTGCAATAGTCTTTTTCCAGTTGATCTGCCCATTCCACCTGCCCTTCCACAACTGCTGCTTAGCCGAAGGCTTCTGCCCCTCTTTCCACAGCAGCTTCAACCGCTTCATGGGCGCAATTCCGCCGTTCTCAAAAATGGGGAAGTCGGTGAGCTTGCGCCCTGCGGAGTGGAAAGTCCTCCTGACCACCGTTGAGTTGGAAGACTGGGGGGGAGCGCTGAGCAACAGCTCCTTCCATTTTTGAGGCGCAGCATCAAACGCCCTCCTTGCTAGCTTGGCTGCTCCCTTCCCGCCGAGCTCTCTTTCCATGGTGGCTGTATCCTTTAGCTCAGGGATCCCGCTACTTCCGAGCTTGATCAGATCACCTAGGCGCTTCTCCCACAACAGCTTCGCATCCTGCTGACCGCCCACCGGCGTAGTTCCGTTAAGCAGAAGTCGCCTATTAAAGACAATCCGCTCCCCTTCCACAGCTTCTTTTGTGACCGCCTCGGGGAGAACGCCTAATGGCGTTTTCATGAAGTTCTCGCATGCGACCTTCCAGCGAGCACTTTTCCCCTCCCAGTGCTTCAGCGGCTTCTCGTGAGCAAAGAATGACTCGATGCCCATGGGTAGATCCGCAGCCCGCACCATAAGATGTTTTTTCAGCTGATTAGTCTCCAGTGCCAACAGCCCCACTCTCCTTGCCGTGAGGCATGCCAGGATCATCTCCGGATCATGCACACCCACTCCACCCAGCTTCCTCGGAGTGTACAGCAGCTCTTTGCTCCAAAGACGGAAAACCCTGTCAGCCGTTGCTTTGTTACCAGAAACGAATTTTTCGAAGGTCTTGGAAATGGTACCCCATTGTTTTGCCGGCGACGGGTAAACCTGCGCTTGGAAGGCCGCCTGTCAGAATATTATGCTCTAGCCTGCAGTGGGGTACTCTATAGCGAGTACAACCCAATTAGGGTTTCCTATATGTATGCCAACTGCTGCTAGTGCAAACCCTCCTTTCTTCATTCTTACTTTCTACAGCTAGTTCTGACATGGTATCAGAGCAGGTCGACCCTCCTGGGTCGATCCTGTGGGTGGGCCCACCACCTAAGCCTTCCGCTGCTACTGCTACTGCTACTGCTACTCTGTGTGTCGCACGCCTCGTGGCGTGCGACGGATTTTTCATCCCGCCGTGCGCCCCGAGGTGTGCGGCGGTTTTCTGCCCGCCGTGCGCCCCGAGGCGCGCGGCGGTTCTCTGCCCGCCGTGCGCCCCGAGGCGCGCGGCGGTTTTCTCCCCCCGTCGCCCGCCGAAGCGCCCCCGGGGACCCGCGCGTCGCCCCCGTCGCCCGTGCGCGGCCCGTACTGCACGAGCGCGGCCCGTACAGGCTGCGCCAGGCCCGCGCGCGGCCTGTTCTGCATGCGCGCGGCCCGTACGGGCTGCGCCAGGCCCGCGCGCGGCCCGTACAACCCGCGCGCTGCTCGTACGGGCTGCGCCAGGCCCGCGCGCGCCTCGGGCCGCCTGCGCGCGGTTCGTACGGGCTGCGCCTGGCCCGCGGGCGCCCGGTCTCCTCTCCCACTGAGCTGCACGCCGTCCCTCGCGCTTCTGACGGCGCCCCACCCCTGCTGCTGCCCGTACTCCTGAATTAGGGTTTGGGGGTGGAGCGTATGGGGGTGCCGTCTCTGTCAGCCGTCCCCTGCTCCTCCTCCTCCTCCGTCTCCCACTGCTGCAGCTGCTGCTCAGGGGGGTGGGTGTGTGGGAGCCGAGGGTTTAGGGTTTAAGGGGGGTGCCATGGGAGTGGAGCTAGGGTTTCAGCAGGGGGTGTGTGTTGGGGGGTGTGGGACAGTTGGAGGAGGTTGGGTGGAGGCAGCCGTCGTGTCGTCTGCAGCGCCTGTATTCCGGGGTTCTGATAGCCACCGGTAGCTCAGAGAGCCGGTTGCACCTGTCGCCCGTGGGTCCGTTGCTCCTGTCGCTGCTGATCAGACGCAGAGCCTGTTACTCCTGTATTCCGGGGCCCTTGCTCCCGGTAGCCACTAGAGTTGCACCAGAGCCGTCTGTTGCCCGTGTGTCTGCAGCTTCAGTCGTCGCCTCCACTCTTCTCTCCTCTCGCCAGCCCTCCTCCTCCTCACTTGCCCTCTGTAACTGCCTCTAGCTTTGCTCATAATTGTGCACTTTAAACTATTGCTTCTTAAACTTGTGCTCAGAATGTGTGGTGACATTGTGATCCACCCTGAGCTTGTACTGCTTTGCTTTCTCTGCTGATTACACCCCACTTTGGCTATGGGGGTGTGTCAGAATATTATGCTCTAGCCTGCAGTGGGGTACTCTATAGCGAGTACAACCCAATTAGGGTTTCCTATATGTATGCCAACTGCTGCTAGTGCAAACCCTCCTTTCTTCATTCTTACTTTCTACAGCTAGTTCTGACACCGCCTTCGGCATTGTGTAGTTGTTGACAACCGCCGTGCGTGCCGTTGTCGGCAGGTATTTCTGTTCCCATTTCTTAACTTTCCCCGATATGTCCTCCGAAGTTCTCTCCCATGTTGGCTGGCAGCTTCCAGAAGGGGTGATCCACACTCCTATCAGCTTCTCGGCTTCATCCTTCTTCGCCCACCTGAAGCTGTGCGTTCGGCCCGTCGTCCTGCCCAGATTATTCCCCAGCGGTAGGACAACCGACTTTTCCCAGTTCGTCGCCAACCCAGAGGTCAGTTCAAACTTCGCCAGCACTTGTTCCGCCTTTAGAAGCTGCTTCTTCCCTTCCAGGACCAGAGTCGTGTCATCAGCATACCCAATATACGCCAGTCACTCATTTGCTTTGCTGATGCCCATCTTCTTCTTGAGTACCATTTGCGCCAACGGCTCAACCGCGCATAGGAATAGGTAAGGCACGAGAGGGCAGCCTTGGCGTACTCCGGAGACCACTTCCACTCCTTCACCCAGCCACCCATTGACTAACAGCCTTGTTTGCATTCCTGCATGCAGGCCCTCCGCCCATTTCGCAAATCGGTCCGGGAAACCCATCGCCCTCATCGTCCGGAAGAGATAGCCGCGTGAGACGGAGTCGAAGGCTTTCTTAAAGTCCACCAGCAAGAGGAACCAATCCTCATTATCATTCCGCGCAGAGTCAATGATGTCGGTGACAAGCCCCACTGCATCCGTCAGCCGCCTTCCCGGAAGGAATCCATATTGCTCCGGCGATATCACCCTCCCCAGGTACTTTTTCATTCTGTCAGCCATAACCCGCGCTAGCACCTTGTATGTGAAGTTGAGCAGGGTGATCCGGTGGTAGTTATTGATTTGATCCTTGTCCCCCTTTTTATGCAGCAGGATCGTCACCGCTTCCTTCACCTCCGACGAAAGCACCGCGGTTTTCGCAAAGTCTTTGGCGAGAGCCATGAAGCCTTTCCCCAGCAGATCCCAGTGGGCTTCAAACAGCTCCTTAGGCAACCCGTCTTTGCCTGGGGACTTGTTCGCCGCCATTGCGCGAAACGCACTTTTCACCTCCTCTTCCGTCCAATCCGCTGACAACTCCGCTGCTTCCCATGACCGCAGAGTTTTATCCTTGTCAGGGCACCATTTCTCCTCCAGCTGACAACGGTCCTTTCCGAAGATGTCGGCGAAGAATTCAGAAGCCGCCCGAAGTATCCCTTGTGAGTCGGCTGCCACTCCACTTGCCGTCTGCAATTCTGCTATTTGGGTACTCGCCTTCCTCGCCTTCACCATCGCCGTCAGATGTTGCGACGCTACTTCCCCCCTGAGCTCCATCCGCAGTCCCGACATCAGATGCAACTTGTCCCTCCGTGAGGCCTGATACTCCCGCAGTTGTGCCTCCTTCACCGCTAACCGCTCACTGGTTTGTTTGCAGGTTGGATCTCTCATCATCGCCTGCCGAAGATTGGCGACAACTTCCACCAGGTGGGACGCCGTTGCCTTAACTCGTTTACCCTCCTCCTTCGCGAAAGCACGAAGACCGGCGGCCAGCCTCGAGAGCAGCAGTTCAAAACTGCTTCCGTCTGTGACCACACACTTCTCCACCGTTGCTTCAACAACTTTCCGGACTCCCCGCTTGTGTACTAGTGAGGCATGCAGCCTCCAAAGACCGGGACCAAGACTAAGTTTGGCGTCTATTCGGATGGCGATGCGAATGGCGAAGCTGTGGTCAGAGATATAATCTGCCGGCATAACATGTGAGGCTTGAATCAGATGCGGTAAGAGTGAGTGCGAGATGAGGGCCCGATCTATGCGCGTGCTAACTTGCTGGGCTTGTGAGAAGAAGGTAAAGTCCCGTTTTTGAGGATAAAGTGTTCTGAATGCGTCCGATAACTGGAAGATGCTGCAGCGATTGAATAGTCTATCATTTTCTGCAGATGAGCCTACGCGTGACGACTTGTCTAACACTGGGTCTTCTATGATATTAAGATCCCCCATAATGAGCAGGTGGTTGGACGGCGGGACCAGATCTACTACCGGACCTAGCGTATCACGGATAAAACCAGCTCGCAAGGTTGGGTTGGCCGGGAAATAACAGGCTATGGCTGTAAGGTGAAGTCCAAGACCATGTATGTCGGCGGCAACTATTCTACCAGAGGGATGAATTACCACGTTACTAAAACTGAGGAACTGCGATCTACAAAGCAGAGCAACTCCGCCAGCCTTCGACCTAGGTGATGTAGCTGCTGCTAAACTGTAAGTGGGATGGGACCAGAGAGGGTGATCCGCGGCTAACCTAGTGTCTGAGAGTACTATGACGTCGGCAGCTTGTCTGGACCAGTCTAGGACGCGCTGCTGTTTGGTCTTATCACCGAGGCCGTTGACGTTCAGGCCCGCAAAACTTATAAGGCTTTTCTTACTCATTTGATAACAATCTGAGAACCCCTACGCATCCACAGGGTAAAGAAGAGCACGGCACTGAGACCCATGAGACCTACTGCTGCTGATGCTGCACGTCTACCGAGCCGATCCTTCTTCAGAGCCCATATTCCTTCTTCGTGACATTGAGGCTTGCCTTCTCGAGAGAGGCACGCGTGGCAGAGCCGAGCTGCTCAGATGGATGAGGTGGTTGGCCGACGTGATGTGGTCTTCTGCAGACATGAAACTCTTCCCCTTGGCCTTCCCACAGCCCACTTGTGTGCAGATCCACTCCTCCCGGTTTCCACCCGTGGAGATGAGCACAATCGCCGGATCCAGCAGAATAGGAGTGATCAGCGGCAAGGCCGGGAGAGAAGCAGCTGCACGGTACCACTTGACAGTTAGCGTAAGTAAGAACACAATGGTGAAGACAATCAAGATGAAGACAGCAGTTACCATTAATACGATGGACCCTCCCCAAGGTAAGATTCCACTTTCCAATATTGTTTTGCCGCTCCGTCGTGAAGGCGTCGTGATTGACATCATAATGATGACCACCACAGAGCAGGCAGGACAGCGCAGGGAAGTGGACCAAGTACCGACGGCCGAGCTCGGATGGGTCCTGGAAAACATGACGCCAGCGGTAACGATCGCCGGGATGCGGGATCACCAGGCCCTTGATGACATCGGTGTCCGCGCCAGTGATCGGGTGAAGAACGCGATGAAAGCAGATCCCATCCTTGAACGCCGACCGCTTCCAGTTCTTCAGCAGGTATACCACCATCAGCTCCCTCAGCATATCCGGCGTTTTCGTCGCAGGTACGTCCCGGATCACAACTTCAATCGCCTGAGCATTAGTCGCACGCTCCCGCACAAACGCCGGGTTGTCCGTGTGCTGCCAGTAGAGTCTGAAAACCATGCCGTTCGGACACGTGTAGTCCACTTCCTTGGATCTGATGCTCATGATGTCGTCTTCGCGCAGGAGGGAGATTTGCAGCCGGCTATAACGAGTCTTCGCCACGTACGCCGGGAGGAGCTCCTGGAACTTTGCTGAGTCAGCAGCGCCATCAGAGAGCGTAGACGACCAAACCCGCCTCATCAGGGTGCGGACTGTGGTGATGACCGAAGCCACCTCGAGGGAGAGAGCCACCGGAAGCAGAAGAATCGCCGTGTAGCGGACGTGGTTGAACGCTTCCGTCTTGACATCAACTTCGAGCTCTTCGTCCGAGTCATCCTCAAGGAATCCGCTGTCAGGAGGAGTTGTACGTAGAGAACGCAGCTTTTCTTCCAGGGAGAGGCCGGAACCGCTTGCCGTAACATCAGCCTGAGTCACGGTGTTAGTGTCATCAATCTTGCCCTTTCCCTTGCCTGCAGGATCCGACGAAGCAGGAACAAGGCCAGGAGACGAGGATGCAGTGCCAGTGGATGAGGACGGAGGCTCTAGCGATGAGGCCTCAGGCATAACCTTGGTCTTCCCCTTAGGAGGCATCGTGCGATGATGAGAGCTGAATGGCAAGGAGGCTGAGAAGCAGACCAGTGATGTCTGAAGTGATGCCATAGCTCTGAGCACGTACTGGTTATATATGAGTAGACCTGAGGTGTTAGACCATTGCTCATGCTGCTGGTGATGCAACACCGAGGTAGAAGCCTCGGGATCATTGTCGGAAAATGTCAGAATCCCAGTCACTAACCACTGGGATAAAAGGGCTTGTTTGTGTAGCGGGTGAGTGCGCCCATAACCCCCCAGGCCAACGTGCCTGTAACCCTTCCCTAGGATCAATCGGGGATCACCAGTGGACCTCTGACACCCCCTCGCACTGGGATGCCCGAGGTGCACACACCGGGATTCGAACCCGAGACCTTCGCTCTGATACCATGTCAGAATCCCAGTCACTAACCACTGGGATAAAAGGGCTTGTTTGTGTAGCGGGTGAGTGCGCCCATAACCCCCCAGGCCAACGTGCCTGTAACCCTTCCCTATGATCAATCGGGGATCACCAGTGGACCTCTGACAGAAAAAACCTTAATAGATACAATGTAGTCCCTGTTATGCAGCTGATGACATAGAAACGAAAGCCAAGCCCTTGGAGTTAGTAACCAGGTAAGAGGAGCCTTGAAATTAGTTGCCTGATAAGAACCGGAACCTCGGTTAACGAAAGATACGATGTCTGACATGTAGACACCAAAGTAGTATCGATCGATGCGCCTTCTAGCGAGGAGTCCAGATCTATGGTTGTTGAGGTCAACTGACAAGGAACCTTCACGGGATCTGAGTTTGAAGGTGCGCGGTAGAATCCATGGCGGACTCATGGCGTAGGTTACTCGTTCAGCTGGACTTTTGGACTACTGACGTCTCCTCCTAATGTAATAACTTCTTCTGTTTTTTCCTGCGTAGCTCTTTTGATGCAGGGCGCCAGACATGTCAACGGAGTGTTCAATAGCGAGCATTTGTGTTCCATCGCCTGAAGCGATTGGGCTTGGTATTCGTCAACAGGGTCAGCCGTTGCCCTGATTGGCCTCACCCGCAGACCTGGCGGAATTTTGTGCAGCTCGACACGCCCTGCTGGCACGCCACGCCACACCACCACCGAAATCCACGACTTTGGAGCGGTGGGCCACCTAAACGCCTTCTTGCGGATTTAGCGAAGCATATGATTGGGCGGTAACGCATTTTCGTCAGGGATGTTTGCCACTCGCAGCCACGCAGAAAGTCCAGCGATCGTGGCAGAGTGGGCGTCGTCTGTCCATTTGCCCCACCTCACCTCCATCCAACTCCCAATTTATTCTCCTTAGTTTCACCGTGAATGTGAAGTGACTTCTAAATTCCTCCAACCAATCTAAAGTAGTAGCACACTCCCCATTAGTCAGTTATGGGTTCATGTCGTCTGCACTGCTTATGAACACGTAGTATTCGAGTTTAGTAGTCTACTAATATCACTCGTTTCTTGTCGCGGCGTTGAATCTTCCCAAGCGATATATGTTAAAGCCCGCGGCCTAAATTGCGGACCGCGCGGGTCAAGTTTTTAAAACTTGACGAAGTTGCCTGTTCAAGCTTTGAAAGGTAGCGCAGGTGCAATTTGGGACTTCCGAAGTCAGACACACCAACCAGAGGGAACTCAAGGGGCTCGTTGGGTTTGGCGAAAAAAAACGAAGTTGACGAAATTAGAAACTCTCGCCTAAACCCAAGACTGTAAAACCCCCTCTCGTCATCTTTTTAAAACTTGTGCAATTTGGGCTGCCGGCTTTAAAAAATATATATACAGAGCATGTAGAATGGTGGAGCAGAGAGAAAACAGATGCATCCAAGTCAAGGCCAGCAAGAGTTGGTGCGCACATGGGGGACGCACGACCAGCTAGAGATGGTGCTCTCACAATCTAGTCACCATGCCTTGGGCATCGCACTCCATATTGAAGCTGCAGTTGCCTCCAGCCACCCACCCAGAGAAGGTCTGCCCCCACGCTTGCTGCAAGTCCTGCAGGACTTGCACTGGCGACAGATGGCAGGGGAGGGGCGAGGTGGGCAGGAGGGCAAGAGAAAGATAGAAGGATGGGGTGGGGTAGGGAACGGAGGAATGACAAATCGGGCTCCCATCACCTGTGTGTCGTACCCTGATATTCTCTCCCTTCGCAATCATCAGTGGAATGGACACTTGCGATGCCGAAGTACCCAAAAACCATGACCCGGAGAGCCAAACTGCGACAATGATAAGATTTATACGCATGGGGGGGAGCATGGCAAGGTCATGGTCACTGATTCACCCGCTGATAACGATGGTGCCACCAACGATAGGAGGTAACAGGAGAGGAGGCCTCATAGGGGGGAAAAATCGTTGGTTGAAAATCCTCGTTAATGAGCTGCGGCTCATGCCCATTGCTGCATCACCCGTAGCAAAAAGCCACCCCATAAACCAAATATT